AAAAAAAAAAATTTATTTTACCATAACTTTTAGCTCAATTGGTAAGTTTGACATTGACATAATTAAATAGAAAATTTTATGACAATTAAAAAAATTGTATCGTTAAGATCAATATGCAGTCAGAAAGTTTTATAATTACTATTTATTGTAAATTTATCAGAAAAGCTCAATATTTTTTTGCATTTTTATGGTAATAGATAACTTAAATAGAAGTAATAGTAATAATTTCCTAGGAACTTTTGTTGTTTGTTGAAAAGATTCTATAATTGAAATATTGAGAACTTAATTAATTTTAATGATTTACTTTAACTAAATGTACCAATCAAAACAAAGTTGATAAAAAGATATACTCAATTGAGTGTATTATAAAATTTGATTATATTTGTAAAAATCAATTGTTAATTCAAGAGAAAAAACAATCATTTTTTTTAGAAATGATTTATATAGCAACATGTTACAAAAAAAAATTGTAATATTATAGTCTAGTAGTAGCACACACAAATAGAGTAAAAAAATTATTAAATTACAAAGTAAAATGATTTAATTTTGTAGTTGAAACCTATCATATCAAACTTCATTCGTTAATAAATATTTTGAAAACATTAGAAATTAATGATTTTAATTGTCTTTATGGAGACGATGTAATAACTAACTGTTTAATTGATAAATTAGAATTTTTTTTTCAATTTTTGAGAGTAATATCTTCAACTAGATACGAATTGTAGTCATTGGACGTATCGTTGAAAAAAGGTCAAGTTAGAGCAGAGAAAATAAATGATATTCACAAAAAAACATCTTCTCGGCTTTGCATCGAAGCTAAAACTTAAAATATAGTAAAATAATTTTAATACGAATAAGAAATTTCTTCTTGCAAGGGGCGACTAAAGTGATGGGATCATTGTTCTTTATTGAAGTTATTGAATCTAAATGAGTTAAAAATTCTTTAACCAACTTAAAAAGAATTAAGAAAAAATGCAAAAAATTCATTGCCATACGCGGGTTGGAACCTCGTACCCCAAGCGTGTAAAACATAAATTTTACCAACTCGGCAACCGTACGTCGCTACCGTCGGGTGAAAAAATAGGCTATTTAAGCTAGTTCAAATTTCAAAGTTATTTTTCTCGACTTAAAAGAAGCAAACAAATTTAAATAAGTTTAACTTTCTATGCTATATTAATTTTTTATTTATATAATATTTATGAAAATCTGTAGTCCCCTTGTCAGGTATTTTAAAATAAAATAAAATACAAAACCCAGAATTTTAACACAAAAATAGCAAATTTTTGAATACGGTAGTCATTTTTACCGTGAAGACAAATCCAGAGGTCACATTTTTTTTTTTAAATTAAAGTATATTATATAAGCTTTAATTTAAGATATATATAAAAGTGTCAGTATTTCCGGAATACTTTCAAAAATTAAATTGAAAATATCATAGTAACAATACGCATGATTAAAGTTTTGACCCCCCTTGTTAAAGGGGTATGATCCGATTTACAAAAAAAGCGTGTAGATGAAAGGAGTATATAAATATTTATTATAAAAAAATAATAATATTGATCCATACATTTTTCCAAAAGTTATATAAAATATAAATTAAATAATATAACATATAAAATCGAGATTTTTTTCACGGAAATCGTACGTTTTTCTTTAACTTTGATGTCCGTTTTCACCACGAAGACAAGTCCAGAGGTCAAATTTTTTTTTTTCAAATTAAAGTATATTACATAAGCTTTAATTTAAGATATATATAAAAGTGTCAGTCTTTCCGGAACATTTTCAAAAGTTAAGTTGAAAAAGTTCTACTTTCTATACGCATTTTAAAAGGTTTGCACCCCCCCTGTATAAAGGGAAATGGTCCGATTTTAAAAAAAAGTATGTCGAATGAAAGAAGTATATATAAAGTATTTATCATTAAAGAATAAAGTTGATTCATGCATTTTTTAAAAAGTTATAGCAACATAATGTTAAAAAATGTAAAATATAATATCAAGAATTTTTTCACAAAAATAGCATATTTTTGCATACGGTAGTCATTTTCACCATGAAGACAAGTCCAGAGGTCAAATTTTTTTTTTTCAAATTAAAGTATATTACATTAGCTTTAATTTAAGGTATATATAAAATTGTCAGTCTTTCCGGAACATTTTCAAAAGTTAAGTTGAAAAAGTTAATTTTTTGTAAAAAAGTTACCATTTTGAAACCCCATCCTTTGGGCTGTTAAAGGGTCAAATGTTCACAAAAATATATAAAATGATAGGTAATTATCTAAGGTATCTATAAAAAAAAAAATTATATTGATTCGGTCATTTTTAAAAAAGTTATGGCAATTTTAAGTAAAAAAAATTGAAAAAATATCGAAAATTAGCGATTTTTAAATTTGTAATTTTTTGGGGGATTTCCCCCGTTTACGGGGAACGAGGGAATTTTTTTCAATTTTTGAGGGTAATGTCTTCGACTAGATACGATTTGTGATCTTTTGACATATTGTTCATCAAAATCGGTCCAGCGAGAGCTGAGATTGAGCGTTCACAGACACAAAAAAAAAAATAAAAAAAAAAAAAAAAAAATAAAAAAACACATCATAGTAAAATTAATACCTTCTCAGCTTCGCATCGAAGCTAAAACACATCATAGTAAAACCAATACCTTCTCAGCTTCGCATCGAAGCTAAAAAATGTTTATAACATCATTGATGATAAAAATATGTTTCTTAAAAAACATGTTAAAGTAATGTTTAATTTCTTAGGGATGTTTTACATAATAAAAATTTTTATTAACCTCGCCACATTTAAATTTTAAGGATTTTAACGCTATGTGGAAATTTAAACCCAATATTCCCTCTGTAAATACGCAAAAGGGTATTAATTAGCTTTTAAGTTGCTAGAAAAAGATCTATACCGTCAAGGTAAAAACCTTATTTTTGAAGAGGTATTTTGTGTTTTAATAAATGGCTTCATGCACGCTTACTCATATAAATGATTCGATTTATCATTAAAAAATTTTATTTAAGATAGAAGATGTAGCTCAAGAATTAATTTATATATATTATACTTGTTTATATCAGCTGAACATGGTTTACATAATTGGTTAAATACGAGGCCTGGTGGAAAAGATGACATAGCTGCTATGTCGCTGTTAGATAATGATGTTAATACCAGCTTTGTATTAATTGATCAATCGGTAATTATTAAATTTATTTAAAAATCCCGGAAAAAAGTATTTATAATGAAGATGGAGTTTGAAAGTGTTATTTAATTTTAGGTAACATTTAAAGGGTATCTAGAACGATTTTCTTTGAAAACACATTGGTATCTTTATGATGACTATACTAGTTACAATACTGTAAAAGGATTTTTAGTCATGTGGTTAAGTATATCAGCCACGTTTCTTTGGAATTTCACAGATTTATTTATTATGTTAGTCAGTTCAGCTCTAGCGGCTCAGTTTAAAAAGTTAACTACGGCGTTGCATAGTGTTAGAGGTCAAGTAAGTTAATTCGATTATTGAACAATAATATTAGACTTGGATTAGGGAATAGGAGCTTATTTAAAATTTTATTTACATGACATAATACATTTCTTTATTTAACAATATAATTATAATAATTAGCGTTTAGAAAATTTCTTTTGAAAAATAATATATTCCAATTACTGAATTAAAAAAAAGAATGCATTTGCATTCACAATTCCTTAAAAATATGCATTCACTTTTATATTAATTGACAATTTTTTTTATTAAAAATGGGTCTTACAAAATAAAGTATTCGATTAAAATATTACTTCAACTATTTTTTAGATTTTTTTTTTTTTTATAATTTTATTTTAAATGAATTTTACATTCACGTTTTATCAAACATTGAATGCATTTGCATTCATCATTCCTTAAAAATAAAATATTGAATTTTTTCTATACTCTAATAATAATAATATAGTTATAACTATATTATTTTAACTAACTATAATTAGTTACTAATATAGTTTCAGCTTTTCATTATAAAACATATTATCGTTAGATATGTTAAGTATAGATATATTTTGAGGTATTTGGATTTAGGTCTCTTACTCTTCTAATAATAACTTTCATCAAAATATTGAATATTTATATAAAATTCGGATTGAATCGCAATTAAACTACTTAAAAGATTAATAAATATATGAGGTGTATTCAGAGAATAAATTTTGTTTTTGATCTACTGAAAAATATCCAAAACCTGACAATAAATGATTTATCATTTATTGTCTTTAATATGATTATAATAATCAGTTTTACATCCTTTAATTTCACGAATTTAACATGCTACAAAGGATGGTGGCCCTCTTTCACATGGGAGTCAAAGATAAATCTTGGTTAGACCAATGATAAATGGTACGGTACTACCAGTATCAATAAAAAAATCACAAGAAAACTCTAGTTGGCACTCTGGGGATCGAACGTGGGACCCCATGCGCGGAAACATACATAACTACCCACCATTGTCATTAATATGATTGATTTTTTAATAATGTATCATGTTCTTAGATACTAACAATGTCACAATGGAGAGAATATCGCGAAACTTATACATCTTTAACTCATTTAGTAAAAAAAATGGATGATCATATCAATGTTATAGTAGCTTTGTCAATTGGCAGTAACATATATTTCATTTGTACTCAACTTATTACTGAAATTGAGTATACAAAGACAAAATATTTTAAATTTATTTTAATATATATATAAATATTTTTTTTAGTTCAATGAAGCATAGTTATTTTAGAACTCTTTTCTATATGTACTCATTTTCATTTTTGGTATTTCGTACAACAGTGGTAGTTATGCAAGCGTCAGCTATAAATGATGAAAGTAAAAAAATTATTCCAGAAATTTTTCTATGTCCAACATACAGCTACAGCATTGAAGTATTTAAATTTAATAAACATAATTTTATAAAATTAAATTCTAATTAAGTTAATTTATTCTTGGTGCATGTTTGTACTGATTTAGACTCAAAGATTTTTGCAAGAAGTTACTTCAGATTATGTAGCATTAACTGGATTAAAAATGTTTTCGATAACTAGGAATTTGCTATTGGGTGTAAGTGTAAAACAAAAATTCTTTCCAATATTGGAACAAAGGTTTTAATATATTTTTATATTTTTTTTAGGTTATAGGAGCAATTTTAACCTATGAAATTGTTCTTATTCAACTTCAAAATACAAAGTAATAATTATAAATACTGTTTATAAATACATGTATTTTATATACCTTTACACTTATATACTTGTAAAATATAAATAATAATGATTAAATATGGAAACAAAAGTTTAAACACTATTAGTAGATTCTTTATTTTTACTATCAAGTGATAAGTGGTAGCGGATTGAATTTAAGTCTTTTAATAACATAGTTACAGTATTTGATAAGACTTCATTATCGATACTGCCATTTACTTGATCTTCTAATCCTACAAAATTAAAAAATGAAAGTTGTTAATAAATATTATGGTAGTTAATATAAAATAAAATGCCCACCATTAGTTTTTGCTTCAAATAAATTGATTCTGGCTTCTAAATTATCAAAACCATCTTCTATTTCTTCTAGTAAATTTTTGCGACAATCAGCTGTATTAATAGGTTTTTCTGGTACTGGACCACTTAATACTAAAATAAAATACATTCATTAATATATTAAAAGAACATATACGCATATTTAAGTATTACAACATAATCGTGTACAATATACGTATAAGTATGTTTGAATCAACATTATGATTTAGAGTTTTATAATATTCTTAAGTGAACTAAGAGAGTAAGCAAAAATAATTTACAACTATATTACAAGGCAATATTTATTTAAAAAAATTAAAACTGTTTGATTAGTATCATAAGCTATTAATCATAATTATAATTCAAACAATGAATTTTAAAAATTTAATAGGAATATTACATTCTTCAAGCTTGTCTGGTGGAGGCTCATCATCTTTTTTTGAACTTTGGTCAGACCACAAATATAATTTTGGATGATCAGGAGTTTGCCTGAAAAAAAAACATTAATAAAAAATATTGTTAAGAGACTTCATTCTGTCTACAAAGATAATTAATACTTATATTAATTCTTTGATAAATGACATGAACGTTTTAATCTAAATAGGAATAAACTGTTAGTATAACCCAATTTACAGTAGTCCATGTTGTATATATATTTTAAACTTAAATATTAAATCTTACAATTTTTTTTGGATCTAAAATTTGAAATAGATTCAAATTTTTTATTTAAGTATTATTTAGAAAACAATTGCAGTTTAGTTTTTAAATCCAAATAATGTTTTTAGTATTAATCATCTGCCTTTTTATGTCACAAATGTTTATCGACTACACTACTACTTCTCTACTAGTTGAAATAAATTTCTCAACTTGACTGACAAATTGATTTTTAAAAAAATGCACAGATAATTTTCATTGATAATATATTTATTAAAATTATTTCAACTGTAGAATTATGAATATAAATAATTTAACAATATAGATTTCTTTCTAAATTTATACTTAAACAAATTTTGTACAAACTGATTGTTAGTTATTTTTAAAAAAATGTTATAGTTAATTTAACATTACCATATATGAAACTGCACAACAGAATGGAATACATCCACTTATTATTAAATGGATGGGAACCGAGCTAAAGGGACGCTCCACTTTGGGACAGCTCAATGAAACCAGAGTAATCAAGAGAGTTAAACAGAGGTGTCCAAAAAGGAGGGCTTCTATCTTCCTTGCTATAGTGATTAGTTTAGTAAAGCTAAGATGAAAATTACATATCGAGGCAAGAGTCAAAAAAATCATGTCATGCAACAGAACTCTGGGAAACATTGGATGCCTTAAAATATACAAATTACTTTGTGGTATTTAGACACTCAAAAACATTTATCAAAATTACCGGTCTACTACTGAGGGATCTTAATAATATCACTAAATATCAAATAAGCCCTCTGCTAACTGGACTACTAACAGGACATGGTCATCTGCTTAAACGTTTAAATATTAAATATTTATACAATGGGGGTTAAGATCTAAACATTTGGGAAAATTTTTTCTGAAAAAAAATATCAAAAACCTAAACCCAAAAAGATACTTAATTTTGCTAGAGAACAGGTCTCCTTGAACATATATAAGTGTGGCCTAGAAGGACGTCTTATATTTATATATATATATAAAGATATTCAAAAATGGCAACAACACTTTGCTAAAAACATTTTGTGAAAAAATCAAATTAATATAATTAGGTAGGAAGTGCGCTTGATGGAACCACAGGTCTAAATATATGGGGAGTTCTTGCCCACCTAGTTAACAGTGAAAACTTGAACTAAAACTTACCCATAAATGATAGTTTTAACCAATAAACTATGTAAAAAGTTGCTATGTTCAATAACTTCAGCAACTAATTGATGTGATTGTTTTAAAATGCTTTCATCTTTTTTCCTCCGTTCATCTTTATGTTGTAGAACACTATAATAATAAAAAAAAAATTGCATTTTTTTTACTTTATATAAATATTTACAAGTGATGTTGAAACTGAATTTTGGGTTTTGGTCCAATTCAAAAATCAAACTAGTATAATCAAATATTACGTTGAATTTGTGATATAAAAAAACTATGCCTTAAAATTATTAAAATTTATATTCGTTTCAATTTTGATTAAATATTTGAATGTATCTGTTCGGTTTAGGTTTGACTAAAAAATTGAAAGTTTGGATTGGTTCAAGTAGGATATAAAATTAAAAATTTGGTTTCAACCCAAATTTCGTAACATCACTAATATTTACAATTAGAACAGTAGTTTTACCAAATTAAAATTTTCAATTAAAAAAAAAGTATTTTACATAAATGTTTACCTGGCAACTTTTCCTTCTTTTATCCAATCTTGAAGATAATCATATTGCTTTGAACGTCTCTTTTTTGAAGGATTAAGACAACTGTTACAAACATAATTATCTGGTACCTGATCTTCAGAATTTATTTGATTACAGTAACCATGTTGCCAACATAAGCAGACATCACACTAATAACATAAATTCAATATAATGTACTTAAAAATAAAGTAATATCTTTAAATATTATGTTGAAATGGCTACTGGGATTGACAACAGATCATTGAAATAATCAGAAATTATCTAAATAAAAGAGGCATGGTATAGGTTTGGAACCTGTGACATAAGGTGTCGTATAGAAAGACTCTACCACTAAGCCTATGACCGTGTATTTATGATTTAAATCCCAATACACGTTCATATAGGTTGATAAAGTGATGTGTGGCTAAGGGAAACACAGTACTGTGTCATGTTTAAGATACATGGTTTTATAATACTAAAAAAAATTAGTTAAAAAATGTATAAATTGCAAGAGCCTCAAATAAAAAAATTAAATTCTTACTTGAATCATTAAACCATCCTCTTGATTAGATCCACACGAACAATTTATAACCTCTTCTTTGCGTAAAGATTCAATTTCAGTTTTATTCTTTTTTATTTTGAAATGACGATTTGATGATTGAGTGATATCATAATTATCTATAAGTTTTAAATAATAAAAATAAATAAATTGCTAGTATTTACTCTAATAATAGAAAAAAAAAATTACCATAAATTTCATTTTCATAATCATCAAGCTGTGATAATTTTTTATTTTCTTTAAGAGCACTATATTCTCTATTAGTCTTTTCAGATAATGATCTCCCTGGTTCTATTAAACCAGAAAAACCAGAATCCCTAAAAACAAAAAAATTTTGAAATAAGTGTAAATAAAAAGTTTAATTATTTCAAATGATAACTTAATTTATTTACTTTGAATCATAAAATTCTGTGATATTTTCTGCTCTATCATTAGATGTGTAAGATGAGTTATGATTTTCTGATTGAAATGAATAATTTTCTAAATCTTGTCTAAAAAAAAAATGAATATATTTGTTTACATTGAAAAACAATTATATTATTCTATGAACACCAAGGCCAAAATAAGGACTCACAGCTACATCTACATTTAGCACAATTAATTAAATTTTTATTTTTTATGGAATCGTAAAAACATATGTTATGTATATTTTTGTTACTACTAAAAAAACTAAATCCTAAGTACAACCCTGACTTGGTTGTTTGCATTTAAAAGATAAGACCTAGAAATATATATAAATTTTTTTTAACGCTTTATAAGCCAAGTAGGGCCTCCTCCAAAAGAAGAGGTTTCTTAACCATTGATACTCCAGGACGGGTGGTTAGTCCGTTGCTGGAGAGAGGGATGATGACTCTAATTACCAAACTGATCTCTCACTCAAAAAATATATCTAGAAATATTTTCAAATTATTTTTTTATTCTATTTTATATAAGCATTTTAAATAATTGTTATTTTTTAAATTTTGGAAACAAGGTTAAATTGCCTAAGCAACAGAAATTTCGTCTTTATAGGAATAAAAAAAAGCATACAATAATAGAAATAGAAATTAACAATAGAAAACAATAATATTAATAAATATAATTTATTTAATATTACCCATGTATATATATATATGTAATTTTAATCAATCTTTAATAAAAAAATATTTAGTATACTAAATACATACTCAGGGAATTTTAGAGTTGAAGGTGTAGTATTTAAGGATGGTGATTCACATAATGTATTTCCCACTGTTTTCTTGGCTTCAATTTGTGATATTCTTTGAAGAAAATAAGAAGGAGATATATCATCAACATGTTCACCTTCTACTCTTGCTGTAGCAAGATCAGTTACATTTGGGGTAGAGACCAAAAGATCAGTGTACTCAGAATGATAATGTTTTATGTGCATCTAGAATTAAGTTGAAAATTATTGAACAAAATAAAATTCTATTTTAATATTAAATTTATTAAAATATTTGTTATTACTAACCATTAATAAATTTTCTTTACGGAATAATTTTCGACATTCTTGTTTGGGACATCTAAACCCTTGTTCACCAGCAGATTCCATTCTAACTGAAATTATGAAAAAATCATTTTCAATATAAACTTAAAAACTTAATGAAATAATGCAAATTAATAGATGTATACAAATATTATCAAACAGGTTTTTAATAGTACTAAGTTTCAATATTAACAATATAAATATTGGATATATGTAATCTGTGTAATAAATAGTGCTTTAAATAGTTGTTACACCAATACTCAAGTTACAACTATTGTTATACCAAAAAAATAAACTTAACCTGAATTAAATCTTACAAGTTATATCATTCTAGAAATTAATCTAAATTATTACTTAGTTTTAAATAAAATGTTCTAATACATTTACTATTTATTTTAATTATTAATAAATAATAAATAATATAATTATACAAGTATTTAATTGTAAGCGAGTAGATTACTTTTTTGTAATAACATATTGCTTGCTATTTGACTGAAAGAAGTTGGTGTTTGAGAATCAGGATTTTCAAATGCATTATTAACTGAAGCAGAGAGTTTTATTTTTTTTGCCAATTGTTCTCCATGATTAACTTTGCGTGTTCTGGTCGGAGTAGAGGTGTTCTTTCTTCTGTAATTATAATATTAAAAAAAACTATTTAATATGGAAACAATTTTTTTTATCAAAACAATGACTTTGTATTAGATTACATTTAAAACTAAAATATAATTACAATACTATTAACTGTTACAAAAAAAAAACATTAAATTTATTTGAGAAAATAAAAAAACAATAATTTTGTTAAATTAAATTTTTTTTTATATTTTATTTATATAGAGCACAAAGTTAATAATAAAAGATATATAATTTTATAATATAACAGAGATCCTTAACATTTAGTATAAGACATCAGTTATTTTAAAAAATATTTTTGGATTAAGAACAAATAGATTTACTGATTTTAAGACAATACTACTTGTATTTACATTTTTAAATGTAAAATGCATTAATAAGAAAAAAAAAGAAATATTAACTATCATAAACTTACTTCAATTTATTTGCATTTAGCTTAACAACTAATAAATTTCTTCTTTTTTCATTATTTTTTGATAAACCAATTCTTTTTTCAGAATGTTTTTTTTGGCCTAACAATGTTTTTCCTAAAAAATTATTTATTAAAATAATATTAAATAAAATAATAAAATAAATTTATTAAAATAATAACAATATTTAACATTTAGATAAATTTATTAGCGAAGGATAGAACAACCAATTATAAAGATAATCTCCACTCTATAAATAGAGCTTTACATAAAACATTTTTAAGGACAATTTTTAAATTTTAACTTTTTCTCAACTCTCACTGGACCGATTTCTTTCAACAATACGTCAAAAGATCACAAATCGTATCTAGTCAAAGACATTACCCTCAAAAATTGAAAAATTTTCGCTCGTTTCCCACAAATGGGGGAAATATCCAAAAAAATTACAAATTTAAAAATCGGTAAATTTTGTCATTTTTTTCACTTTTTTTTCCTAAAACTTCCATAACTTTTTCAAAAATAAACAAATCAACATAATTTTTTTTTATACTANTTTTTCACTTTTTTTTCCTAAAACTTCCATAACTTTTTCAAAAATCAACAAAATTTTTTTTTATACTAAAACCTTAGATATTTCTCTTTCATTTGATATCATTTTTTTGAAAATCAAACACTTAACTTGCTCATTGGGGGGGATTTAAAATAGCAACTTTTTTACAAAAACTAACTTTTTCAACTTAATTTTTGAAAATATTCCGGATATACTGCGTCTTTTAAACATATATCAAATTAAAGCTTATTTTATGTACTACAAAATGAAAATAAAAATTTGTCCCGACACTTTATCTTCTGTATGTAAACGGCTGACGTAGTTAAAAAAACGCTATTTTTGTGTTAAAATTTTCAACTTAAAAATGTTATAACTTTTCAAAAAATGTAATTATCAGCACAAATTTTTTTTCTAAATACATTATAAGTACATTTTTCATTTGAGATACTTTTTATTAAAATTGGACAATTTCCCCATATATAGGGCGTTCAAAACTTGAAATATTGTATAAAAAATAGAACTTTTTCAACTTAACTTTTGAAAATGTTCCGGAAATACTGCGTCCTTTAAACATATATAAAATTAAAGCTTATTTTATGTACTATAAAATGAAAAAAAAAATTTGTCCCGACGACCTATCTTCTATGCGCAAATGGCTACTGTATTCAAAAATATGCTATTTTTCTATTAAAATTCTAGGTTTTGTATTTTATTTTATTTTAAAATATCTTATAAGAAGAATATATTGACTTTCATGAATATTATATAATTTAATTCACATAGAATAAAGTTCATAAGACATAAGAAATTAAACTTATTAAATTTTTTTTACTTTTTTAAAGTCGAAAAAGTAATTTTTAAATTTAAGTTAGCTTAAATAGCCAATTTTTTAGCTTCGATGCGAATTTTTTATATGTAAATACTAATTTTTAAAAATATTAAAACTTAGAAGTGATAGAAAAAGTCTTATTGCAGAAAACATCACGAAAAGTTGATTTAGAATAGTATATTTTTGCTTCTGATGAAAGTTCCTTGTAGTCCAGTGCATTTATTTATAGTAACAAACAGTTTTTATTGAAAATTATTGTGTCAAGCCCTTTAAATTTTTATACACGTAAAAGTAAAGCAAAATATAACTTCTTTATTATTTTTATTATTTCTCCGTATAAATTACAATATTAAATTATTGAATATCAATTTAATATTAAATTTAATAATTATAATTAATATTTATTCATATATTATATTTTAAAATCAAAGAATTACTAATTAGGATATAATCAAAGAAATAAGAGTTGATGTTGCTTATGGAATAATCCACCAATTTCTCTAAATGGAACACTATCTACAGATTTGCATCGAAGCGTTTCTTATAATAGTGATTTTAATCACTGTCAAATATCATCTATACTTGTCCCATCTATGCCTTGTCTACACTGTGCCTCGACCCCACTGTGCTACCGTTTTTTTCATTACTTAAGTTATTTAAAAAATATTAAACTTAAATTTTGTCTTATTTATATAAATTTAATATATGAAATATTACTTTTTTTTTTTTGTTTTATGTCAACACCACGCATTGATGATTTTTTGGGGGAAATAATCTCAGCCTCTGCTTCTATATCTTCTAATGATTCTTCAAAGTTATCTAACTTACTTTCTTGGGATTGTTTGCTGACAGAAGAGATACTTTTAATTTGTCTATGAGCTAAATTTGATAATGGTTTTTATTCAGTTTCACTCAAAATAATTAATAACTATTATATTTACTCACATTCAGTCGAAGATATATTTTGTACTTTTACAGTACTTTTGATACTTTTCTATAACAATAAAGCATTATCAATAAATTATTAAAACAAATTATATTAATTTGTGTTGAGTAATTTCACTTCATAATTACAGTACTAAATTTTAACGATTTTTCAATAAAATAATGGTATATTTTTAACTGTGTTATTACAATACTAAATATAGTTCTTCATTTTTTAATAAACAAAAAAAATAGATATTATCAATATATTATTCAATTAAAACGCTTTTTTTTATTAAGACGATAATGATTCTTAATCAATACAATTATATGTTATTTAATGTTATGAAATAAATAAATTATTAATGAACTACTATAAATTTTAAGTAATTTTTATTTATTTTGTATTATAAAATTATCAATTTAGGAATTAATGAATTCAATCTATAATTCTGATTGATTTATTTAATCTGCATTTCAGATTTAATCCATAATCCTGACGGCAGTATTTTAATAATCCTTGCTATCTCAAATTAAAAATTAGAACACAGATTAATCCCAATTACTTGTTCAGTTTTAGTACATAAATTTAATTTGCATTTCATACCTACTTTATGCATTAAAATACTTGTAACTCAATGAATACAAGATCTAAAAAGATCACAATCTGTCTGTTTATTTGTAAAAAAACACTTTCCATTTATTTTATAACATTCAAATATATTTTTAATAACACAGGAATATCGTTAGACAATAGATGTATTAGTTATTTACTTTGAACATAACTAAAAGAGATACCTTTAATTACAAATAAGTCTTTATAATACTTTAATACTTTTTCGATGGACTAAATGATGCATTTGAACTACAGCCTTATTTATCATTACAAAATTTTAATTCTTATTACGTATGCTGCTTACATATTAATTAACTAATTAAGTTTTCAACTGATTAGAAAACTGACTTAGAGCTTTAAAACCATTTTTCTTAATGATCTACTTTTATTTTATAATTAAGCCAAAATATTTTGATTAATTACAATTAGGTTTAGCTATGTTATTTTATTTACATACATTTCCATTATAGGTGAAAAAAAAATAACATGAGCTGTTGGATGCAACTTAATTTAAATAAGTTAATATACTAAACACTTTTCCATAGTAAGCAAAAACATTTTTCATTATATATTTTTTTGTTAAACAATACACAGAAATTCGGCACCCTACAGTGGAACATGTACATTTTTCTTTCAATAAATGAATCGCAACTATGAATATTTTAATTATATTAATTTTAATTTTAAGTATAAAAATACTTACTGAAGTTTTAATAGCCAAGGGTTTTTTAGAATTCTGAGCTATTTTTTTTTTTTCTTTTGAAACTTTGATTTCTTTATTTTTTTGATCTAAATAACAAATAAAAAGTAGAAAAATACAAATTATAAATATTTTATAATATGAGAATTTGCTGTACACTAATTTTTGTCTTATAACTATATTAAAATTATTAACAGTATTGATAAATATAAAAATTAATTTTCAAATTTTTGTGACAATAGTAGCTTATAAAAGATTAATACCATTTCATTAAAGGTTATTGATATATAGGTTTACTATTATTTAAATTATTTACTTAAATTTATTAAGTATAAATAGTATAATACCTTTTTTATTTTTTAAATCATCTTTCTTAAACTTCACTTTGAATATGCTCGCAGATTTAGGTCCTGTCACAGGTTTTTTAGTAATTTCTCTTTCAGTTGTAATTGATTTTACATCAGGTATAATATTTTGAGGTTCGTCACTAAAGATGCATTGTAATTAAATATTTTCAAGATAATATCAGCTATTATATTTTATATTTAGTTAAATACGAAATTATTCTATAATAACTACACAACATAAGAGAATATCAACAATATCATTATTGCAGACTTTGCACAATGTCATCATCACATAATGCAAAAATTTTTATAATAAAAATCATGATAAATAAAAAAAATTCTAATAAAATTGGGCGATCTTTTTAAATGAATTAGATGGATGGATTTTATTAAGAGTATACCACTTTGGTATATCCAAATGACTTTTTGTTTCACTTTACTCTATTAATTATAGGAATAGATCACTTTCAGAATATCTACAGAATCTCTATGCATATGCTCTGGCCTCAATCAGATACATTAAATTACATTATGTATTTTTTAATGACTATCAATTGTACACTATGTTTGATCATAATATTTGATTGTCTTTGTTGTAGTAATATCAGTTTACCGCCAAAGTATGAAGGAGAATGTAACATAAGACAATTTTTGTATACTTATTTATATATTATTAATATATTTAATATTGCCTGCAAAGTGCTTATCTTGCTGTTTATCAAAAGTATTTTTTATTTATATCTTCAGTTTATTACCTAATATTTTCTACATTATTTTGCCATCCACTAGTCATTGATCTAATTCTATGACTATCTTTGTTAATCCATTCATTAGCACTACTACCTTCTTTATAGGAAATAAATATTTCATCACCATCATCTTCTTCAACCAAAGCTGGTACCCTAGAATTGTATTATATAATTTAAATTTAAAGTAACCGAAAGTACATCAAAATACAGCCAAATTAAATTGTGTGATAAATCAAAAATTATAATGGATTATATAACTAACCTAAATAAATAACTTACCATTTATTAGCAGGAGATTGTATTAGTAATTCAGTACCAATATCGTAGTCCATTTCAAAAAGGTTCTAATTTACTGATAGTCAAATTAATATGTGTCGTGTTAACCACGATGATTTAACTTAAATATTGAAAAAAATATATATGGTATCATAAATACTTTAAAAATTAATAGCAAGTTTAGGTTGTACATTAAAGTTTCATTTAATGAAAATAATTTTCGATAATGTAGTTAAATAAAAGTAATGCAAAAAACTACGTTTAAATTTAAATACTAAGATGCCAATACAATGAAAATCAATAAACAATGTTATTTAATTTTACACCACAAATGATGTATACACAAAAAAATATGATAACAGCAAAAGGTTTGTTTTTGATAAGAAGAACGGTTAAAGCCATAGAGTAAAATTACTCTATGGTTAAAGCATAGATGTTATAAACATGGGATTGGACATAGATGCTTTATCAGTGAAGACTATGATGACAGAATAATAAATGGTGATAGAAAATTGAGACTATTTGTATTATTATATGATAAGATTTTACTTTTTATTATTTAATGTTTAGTAATTACTAATTAGAGTGAGTTTGTATTGTATAGTAATATAGACTAAAAATAATTATTTTTTCAATACTACCTAAATTTATTAAATAGTAATTAACCATAAGCATAAAATAAGTCAACATAAGAGTGAATAATAATATTAAAACGAGTACTTTTTTTAACACTTATAAAATATATAGTTATACAGTAACAATGAAAGAACAAAAATTAATTTAAATTTAAATTGATTAAAATTAATAGTCTTGGTCAATTTTGCTCGTATTTTAATGCGTTCTTCGTTTCTTATTTTAACTTAGCTATACATTCTAACATCTAAATACTTCAATACTTTTAAATTTATTATATTGTTTTTGTAGTAATTTTCAAACCAAGCATGATCTTCACAAATTAGTTTAGAAAATATGTTATAGCTTCTATAAAGTTCAGTATTAACTTTAATTAAAAAAAAATTGTATGGATTACTTGAATGAATGTGATTAGTGTATTTAATTATTGGTCAGAGAAACTGATAAGTCATTAATAGAAATATTAGTTAATGTAATTGTTTCTTTAGTAATAATCAATGGTCTATTTCAAAATTAATGTTAAAATAATAATAATAGTTATAACATAAACATATAAAGTCATATCTGTTAAAGAATTCTGAAGACAATATTTTTGTAAAACAGCAATATTTATTGCTCAAATTATTCTTATTTTAAAAATTAAAATACATATGAATATTATAAATATTAATATTAATATAATGTAAGATATATTAAATTATCGGAACTGCATTTTTTTAAAGATATATATATATATTTCCACACAAATAGTTACTGAAGTCAAAATGGTCAGAACAAATTCTTTGTCACTCATGTACACTGTCAATTTTATAACTTTTTTTCTATTTCAATAATTTGGTTAAATCAAAGAAATTAAAAATTTTAAATACGATATAAAATTAATGTACATATATATATATAATTATATATATAATAAAAATCGCCTAATAATAAAATATTAGGCAGTGTTGGCATAAGACAGTTGAATAATCTTATTAAAAGGGAAAATAGAGGAATAGTATTGTGATGCTGATATTTATATGCAAAAGATATGAAGAGTGTGGAAATTATAAAGCTTATGAGTCATAGTATGAAGATTTAGGAAAAAGTAATAGACAAAAGAATATGAGAAGAAACATAAGTAACAAAGAACCAGTTTGATTTTTTGCCTGGAAAGTCAATAATAGAGCAATTATCTTTTGTGAGATAACTAAGAGAAGTATAGGGAAAAGTAGAAAAAACTGTGTATGCTTTTTATGTTAAATAGGAAAGTATATATGTACTTGTACCAGAGTAAAAAGTGTGGGCAGAGTAACAAAACATTTTAGGGTAAAAGTAGGAGTGAAACAAGGTTCAGCTTTAAGCTCTTATTTTCTATTGTGATGGATGAAATTACTAGAGAAAATACAAGAAGTACCATAGTACATGTTGTTTGCTGACTATAGTGTTAATAGGGGAAATGGGGAAGAAAATAATTAGAAGTAAAAAGTGTAGAGATCAGCTCTTAAAGAAAAGGGATTAAGAATAAGTAGGAGTAAGATAGAGTTCGAGTTTGACAAAGGAGAACACGAAGTTGATGAAATGAGAAGATCAGTGACAATAAGCGAGGTTGTGATAGGAGAGGTAGAAAGTATTAAGATCAGTTGTGCAAAAGAACGGTGGTATTGACGAAGATGTAAGACACAGGATTAAGTGTAGGTGGGTGAAGTTTAGAGAAACATCTGGTGTGTTATGCAATAAAAGTATTCAAATGAGTTTAAAAGGTAAATTCTATAAGACTAGTGAGACCAGCTATTATGTATGGTTCAGANGAAGAGTGTGGAAATTATAAAGCTTATGAGTCATAGTATGAAGATTTAGGAAAAAGTAATAGACAAAAGAATATGAGAAGAAACATAAGTAACAAAGAACCAGTTTGATTTTTTGCCTGGAAAGTCAATAATAGAGCAATTATCTTTTGTGAGATAACTAAGAGAAGTATAGGGAAAAGTAGAAAAAACTGTGTATGCTTTTTATGTTAAATAGGAAAGTATATATGTACTTGTACCAGAGTAAAAAGTGTGGGCAGAGTAACAAAACATTTTAGGGTAAAAGTAGGAGTGAAACAAGGTTCAGCTTTAAGCTCTTATTTTCTATTGTGATGGATGAAATTACTAGAGAAAATACAAGAAGTACCATAGTACATGTTGTTTGCTGACTATAGTGTTAATAGGGGAAATGGGGAAGAAAATAATTAGAAGCAAAAAGTGTAGAGATCAGCTCTTAAAGAAAAGGGATTAAGAATAAGTAGGAGTAAGATAGAGTTCGAGTTTGACAAAGGAGAACACGAAGTTGATGAAATGAGAAGATCAGTGACAATAAGCGAGGTTGTGATAGGAGAGGTAGAAAGTATTAAGATCAGTTGTGCAAAAGAACGGTGGTATTGACGAAGATGTAAGACACAGGATTAAGTGTAGGTGGGTGAAGTTTAGAGAAACATCTGGTGTGTTATGCAATAAAAGTATTCAAATGAGTTTAAAAGGTAAATTCTATAAGACTAGTGAGACCAGCTATGATGTATGGTTCAGAGTATTGGGTGGTTGACTAGAGAATAGAATGCTTCGATAGATGAGTAGAGTGACTAAAGAGGATAGGATAAGGAATGAATATACAAGAGGGAGTATAGGTGTAGTGTTAATCGTGGATAAGATGAGAGAAAATAGACTTAGATTGTTTAGTCATGCTATGAGGAGAGAGGAATCGGAAGCTGTAAAAATAGTTATAGAAATGAATGTTGAAGGAAGAAGAAGTAGAAGACCAAAAAAGAGATTGAGGGATGGTTTTTTATGCAATATGAGTACTGCTGATGTGGGAGTTCGTGTTAAGTAGAAATTTAAGATAAGGGTGGCTGACCACAAGTAGATGAAATTAAGGCCAGGAAAAAAAAGAAGACCTACAGTACACACTATACAAATATCATAACTTATTATAAAATTAAAAAAACAGTATCTTATGCACTTATCACAATTAAAATGTAAACGAACAAGTAGCTACACTATTTAAATTGAACATTATTATTTCAATTAAAAAATTTAAGTAAATTAACAAATTAACATTTAAAACTAAATGTAATTTATAATCTATTATATAAATATGCTATGTTTAATCTTATATTACGTGTGCCATTTATATAATTTAAGCACAGCCATAGTGATCTTAAAAAATCTGAATTGATTTTTTTTATTCTCATCTAAACAAGAGAGTTATTATAAAAACCTTTATGAAGATATTCTACATTTGTAAAGTGAATCTTTACAAATAAATGTATGTACACAGACAGAGAGAGTTAGAACACATCAATCATTTTCTAAAATTTGACAGGTTCTTATAATAATATGAAGTACAAGATGATAAATTTAAAAAAAAAAATAGTTGCTTTAATGTTTTTATAACACTTTAATAAGTTTAGGTATAATATAGCCACTTAATAATTTTTAGAAGCGGAGAAAATTAAATTAAATTTTAAACAACACAAAATTTTGACATTTAATTACATATATTGTTTTAACAATACTATATTATAATATAATAAACTTATCAAATATATTTCATATACCTCCCTGTCGTGTTAAAATTGATAAAATTATTAAATTTTTTTCCAGGAGCCAAAGAATTATTTTATAAATAAACAAACCTTACATAAAACTAGGAGTGTTATTAAAATTTTATTTTGGTACCCAAAGACTAGCACTTATTTTAGAAAATAAGTAGATAATGAGAGGAGTCATTCAAGATTTAAGGGACTAAAAAATATATTTAAATGGTATGCAAACGCATGCCTTGTATACCTAAAATAACATTGTTGCATAAAAATAGAAAAACATTTATTTTAAAATTTTAATTTTTAATAATCTTTTCAATCTCCAATTTTAATTACAATAAATAAATAATAAAATTATCTTTAGATCACATTTTGTATTATAGCAATAATTAAACAAAATAGCTTTCAATGTACTAAGCATTAAATTTTAATGACAAATAATAATCTAATTAAAGAATTATTAACTCACAGCAAAATTTATATAAAATTTATTCATTTTAATTATTCAATTAAAAATTGTTGAAAGTATATTGATTACACGTAAAAATTTATCATCCAAATTTGGAAAATCATTTTTCAAAGCTTCACAACTACACATAAATTATCTTGATTTTTCTTCCAAGTAGCAGTTGATTCTTCATCAACTCTAAACTCATCTTTAATTAATAAACTATATTTTCCTTGTTTAACTGAATCTAAATGTTTAGCATAACTTTGTCTATGACTGAGTAGTTCAATATTCCAATATTCGGAAAAGATTAAATGTAAAACTATTATTGTGGGCACGAGTAACCCACTGTTATTTCAAAAGTGACGAGTATATTACAACAAGAGGCACTAAAATAAAAAGCAATATAAATTATAGAGTTGAAGACCTATTTTTTGCTCATTTAAAAAAAAAAATTATAATGCATATAATATACAGACATTTTTTAGCTTCGATGCGAAGCTGAGAATGTATTCATTTTACTATGATGTGTTTTTTTTTTTGTGTCTGTTACCACTTTTTCTCAGCTCTTACCGAACCAATTTCTTTCAACGATACGTCAAAAGATCACAAATCGTATCTAGTCAAAGACATTACCCTCAAAAATTGAAAAAATTTCCCTCGTTCCCCGTAAATGGGGGAAACCTC